CCATTGAGCCCCCATTGACCTTTGACCCCTTCGATGACCCATTATTGACCTTTGACCCCCAAATGACATGACCCATGACCTCTAAGCCCCGGTGAGCCTTGGTGACCCTTGACCCCCATTGTTGACCTCCTCACTGACCCCCCCCCCCAGTGACCTCTGACCCCACCATTGACACACACCCATTGACTCCTCCGTTGATCTCTGAACCCCATTGACCTCTGAACCCCATTGACCCCCCCCCCAGTTGGGTTGGTTCCGACCCCCTCCGATACCACATGACCACCCCTAGAGACCCCGTGACCTCCCCCCCCATTGAGCCCCATTGACCCCCCCATGATCCCCTCATTGCCCCCTTTTTGAACTTTGACCCCCAAATGACACCCCCATGACCCATAACCCCCCTATTGACCCCCCTTTGTGACCCTTGACTCCCAATTGATCCCCTCAGTGACCCTTGACCCTCCTTATTGACCTCTAGTCTCCCCATTGTCCTCCATTGACATCTGACCCCCCACTGACCCCCATGAACCCTAACCTCCCCATTGACCTCTGACCCGACCATTGACCCCCTTTGCACCCCCACTGACCCCACCCCCCTTGAACCCCCCATTGACCTCTGACCCCCCATTCACCCCCCCTTTGTGCCCCCCATTGACCTCTGACCCCCCATTGAGCCCTATGACCCCTCAGCTCCCCACTGACCTCTGACCCCCCCATTGATCTCTGACCCCCCCATTCCCCCCAGTTGACCTCTGACCCCCCAGTGCCCTCCCCATAACCCTCCATTGACCTTTGACCCCCTGTTGACCTCTGACCCCCCATTGACCCCCATGACCCCTAATCTCCCTATTGATCTCTGACCCCCCATTGCCCCCCATTGATCTCTGATCCCCCATTGACCCCCATAACCCCCCCATTGCCCTCTGACCCCCCATTACCCCTTCCCCCCCCCCCTTGACCTCCGCCCTCTGATCACGTGACCGCAGAGCGCTCAGGCCATTGGTGGCCTCGTGGGGGTCACCAGCGCCCGCCTCAGCTCCATGAAGACCCGGTGAGTGGCCAATCAGAGCGCGCCATTCCTCCCCCCCCCTCCTCCTCATTGGCTGTTGCTTGGGGGCGGGCGAAACAGGGGGCAGGAGCCAATGGGAACGCAGCATTGCAGGTGGAGGGGGGGGGCGTGGCTTGCTCGGTATCCAATAGGAGCGCGTGCTGCGTTGCCATTGGCTGCTTAGTCAGGGCGTTGGCGTAAGCCAATCGGAGGGTCCGGAAACAAGCTCTGCCTCTCATTGGCTGGTTTATTATAGGAGGGGTGGGGCTAGCCAATCAGACGCCACCTTCGTGTCACGTTGCCCCCTCCCCATTGGCCAATGGCTGATTGGGGGGGGGGGGCGTGTCCTTGTGCCCCACCCGTGAGCTCCCCCTCCCTATTGGCCGCGAGGCAGGGCGGGCAGCCAATCGGCACGCAGGTGGGCGGGGCTTGACAGAGAGGCAGCCAATCAGACGCTGCCTTTGTGTTGCGCTGCCTCCCCATTGGCCAATGGCTGATGGGGGGGGGGGGGGGGCGTGTCCTTGTGCCCCACCCGTGAGCTCCCCCTCCCTATTGGCTGCGGGGGTTGGAAAGGGGGGGGGGGTGTTGCAGCGTTGACCAATCAGGGCCCGCCTCTTGGCCCGCCTCAGCCAATGGCGTTGCAGGTTCGAGGGGCTCTGCCTCCTCTCCCTCCTGGTGAGCGAGAGCCCCACGGAGCCCTTTACCCAGCACTGCCTGGGCTGGCTGCGGGCCCTCCAGCACCTCCTGCAGGTAAGGGGGCGCTATGGGGCTCTATGGGGCTCTATGGGGTCTCTATGGGGCTCTATGGGGGCTCTATGATGCTCTATGGGGCTCTGTGGGGGCACAGTGGGGCTCTATGGGGTCTCTATGGGGCTCTGGGGTTCATCTCTATGGGGTCTCTGTGGGGTCTCTATGGGGCTCACTGTCTCCCCTAGGGATGCTCCATAGGGATGCCCATAGGGATGCCCCATAGGGATCTATGGGGCTCTGTTGGGCTCTATAGGGATGCCCCATCAGGGCTCTGTGGGCTCTCTGCTCCCTCATAGGGATGCTCCCATAGGGATGCCTATGGGGTCAATGGGCACAGTGGGGCTTTATGGGGTCTCTATGGGGCTCTATGGGTTCATCTCATAGGGATGCCCCATAGGGATCAATGGGGCTCACTGTCTCCCCATAGGGATGCCCCATAGGGATGCTCCATAGGGATGCCCCATAGGGATGCCCCATAGGGATCAATGGGGCTCACTGTCTCCCCATAGGGATGCCCCATAGGGATGCCCCATAGGGATGCTCCATAGGGATGCTCCATAGGGATGCCCCATAGGGATGCCCCATAGGGATGCTCCATAGGGATGCTCCATAGGGATGCTCCATAGGGATGTCCCATAGGGATGCCCCATAGGGATCAATGGGGCTCACTGTCTCCCCATAGGGATGCTCCATAGGGATGCCCCATAGGGATGCCCCATAGGGATCAATGGGGCTCACTGTCTCCCCATAGGGATGCCCCATAGGGATGCCCCATAGGGATCAATGGGGCTCACTGTCTCCCCATAGGGATGCCCCATAGGGATGCCCCATAGGGATGCTCCATAGGGATGCCCCATAGGGATGCCCCATAGGGATGCTCCATAGGGATGCCCCATAGGGATGCCCCATAGGGATGTCCCATAGGGATGCCCCATAGGGCTGCCCCATAGGGATGCTCCATAGGGATGCCTCATAGGGATGCCCCATAGGGATGTCCCATAGGGATGCCCCATAGGGATGTCCCATAGGGATGCCCCATAGGGATGCCCCATAGGGATGCCCCATAGGGATCAATGGGGCTCACTGTCTCCCTCCCGCCCCATAGTCTCAGGACCCGCCCCCCACCATGGCGCTGGGGGTCCTGGTGCTCCAGGACCTGCTCCGCTTCTCCTCCCAACTGCCCGAGCTGGCGCGGGACATCGGCACCGACCACATCCCGGGGCTGCTGACCTCCCTGCTGGCCCTGCGCCCCGAGGTGAGCCCCATAGCGGGGCTCTAGGGGGCTCTATGGGGCTTCTATGGGGTTCTATGGGGGTTCTATGGGGTTCTATGGGGGTTCTATGGGGTTTTAATGGGGTTCTATGGGGTTACAATGGGGCTCTATGGGGGTTCTATGGGGTTACAATGGGGCTCTATGGGGTTCTATGGGGTTACAATGGGGCTCTATGGGGTTTTAAAGGGGTTCTATGGGGTTACAATGGGGCTCTATGGGGGTTCTATGGGGTTACAATGGGGCTCTACGGGGTTCTATGGGGTTACAATGGGACTCTATGGGGGTTCTATGGGGTTACAATGGGGCTCTATGGGGTTCTATGGGGACATCGGCACCGACCACATCCCGGGGCTGCTGACCTCCCTGCTGGCCCTGCGCCCCGAGGTGAGCCCCATAGCGGGGCTCTAGGGGGCTCTAGGGGGCTTCTATGGGGTTCTATGGGGGTTCTATGGGGTTTTAAAGGGGTTCTATGGGGTTTTAAAGGGGTTCTATGGGGTTACAATGGGGCTCTATGGGGGTTCTATGGGGTTACAATGGGGCTCTATGGGGTTCTATGGGGTTACAATGGGGCTCTATGGGGGTTCTATGGGGTTACAATGGGGCTCTATGGGGTTCTATGGGGTTTTAAAGGGGTTCTGTGGGGTTACAATGGGGCTCTATGGGGGTTCTATGGGGTTACAATGGGACTCTATGGGGTTCTATGGGGTTTTAAAGGGGTTCTATGGTGGTTATAGGGGGTTCTATGGGTGTTATATAGGGGTTCTGTTGGTGTTATATAGGGGTTATATGGGGTTCTAGAGGGTTGTATGGGTGTTATATAGGGGTTCTATGGGGGTTCTATGGGGTTTTAAAGGGGTTCTATGGGGTTTTAAAGGGGTTCTATGGGGTTACAATGGGGCTCTATGGGGTTTTAAAGGGGTTCTATGGGGTTACAATGGGGCTCTATGGGGTTCTATGGGGTTTTAAAGGGGTTCTATGGGGTTACAATGGGGCTCTATGGGGGTTCTATGGGGTTACAATGGGGCTCTATGGGGTTCTATGGGGACATCGGCACCGACCACATCCCGGGGCTGCTGACCTCCCTGCTGGCCCTGCGCCCCGAGGTGAGCCCCATAGCGGGGCTCTAAGGGGCTCTATGGGGGTTCTATGGGGGTTCTATGGGGGTTCTATGGGGTTACAATGGGGCTCTATGGGGTTCTATGGGGACATCGGCACCGACCACATCCCGGGGCTGCTGACCTCCCTGCTGGCCCTGCGCCCCGAGGTGAGCCCCATAGCGGGGCTCTAGGGGGCTCTATGGGGCTTCTATGGGGTTTTAAAGGGGTTCTATGGGGTTACAATGGGGCTCTATGGGGTTTTAAAGGGGTTCTATGGGGTTACAATGGGGCTCTATGGGGTTTTAAAGGGGTTCTATGGGGTTACAATGGGGCTCTATGGGGGTTCTATGGGGTTACAATGGGGCTCTATGGGGTTATAATGGGGCATCGGCACCGACCACATGGGGCTGCTATCCCTGGGGCGCCCGAGGGAGCCCCATAATGGGGTCTCTATGGGGCTTAATGGGGCTTCTATGGGGTTCTATACTGGGGTCTATGAGGCTATAATGGGGCTCTACGAAGGTATAATGGGGCTATAATGGGGCACTATGAGGCAATAATGGGGCTGTATGATGCAATAATGGGGTTCTATGGGGCTATAATGGGGCTCTATGGGGCAATAATGGGGCTCTATGGGGCTATAATGGGGCTCTATGGGGTTATAATGGGGTTCTATGGGGCTACAATGGGGTTCTATGGGGCTATAATGGGGCTCTATGGGGTTATAATGGGGTTCTATGGGGCTATAATGGGGCTCTATGGGGTAATAATGGGGCTATAATGGGGCTCTATGGGGCTATAATGGGGCTATAATGGGGCTCTATGGGGCTATAATGGGGCTCTGTGGGGCTATAATGGGGCTCTATGGGGCTATAATGGGGCTCTATGGGGCTATAATGGGGCTCTATGGGGCTATAATGGGGCTCTATGGGGCTATAATGGGGCTGTAGTGGGGCTCTATGGGGCTGTAGTGGGGCTCTATGGGGCTGTAGTGGGGCTCTATGGGGCTATAATGGGTCTCTATGGGGCTATAATGGGGCTCTATGGGGCTATAATAGGGCTCTATGAGGCAATAATGGAGATCTATGAGGCAATATTGAGGTTCTATGGGGCTATAATGGGGCTCTATGGGGGTATAATGGGGTTCTATGGGGCTGTAATGGGCTCTATGGGGCTACAATGGGGCTCTATGGGGGTATAATGGGGTTCTATGGGGCTATAATGGGGCTCTATGGGGGTATAATGGGGCTCCATGGGGCTACAATGGGGCTCTATGGGGCTACAATGGGGCTCTATGGGGCTACAGTGGGGCTCTATGTGGCCATAATGGGGCTCTATGGGGTATAGTGGGGCTCTATGGGGCTTTAATGGGGCTCTATGGGGCTGTAGTGGGGCTATGGGGGTCCTTCTATGGGGTCCTATGGGGGTTATATGGGGTTTATGGGGTTATATTGGGGTTATATGGGGTTATATGGGGTTATATGGGGTTATATGGGGTTATATGGGGTTATATGGGGTTATATGGGGTTATATTGGGGTTATATGGGGTTATATGGGGTGTATGGGGTGATATGGAGTGATATATGGGGTGTATGGGGTTATATGGGGTGATATATTGGGGTTTTATGGGGTTATATATGGCTTATATTGGGGTTACATGGGGTTATATGGGGCTATATGGGGGTTATGTAGGGGTTGTATGGGGTTATATAGGGCTTATATTGGGGTTCTATGGGGTTCTATGGGGCTATATGGGGGTTATATGGGGTTATATAGAGGTTATATGGGGTTATATAGGGATTATATGGGCGTTATATGGGGTTATATGGGGTTATGTAGGGATTATATAGGGTTCTATGGGGTTCTATGGGTTTATATGGTGCTATATGGGGTTCTATGGGGGTTCTATGGGGTTATAATGGGGCTCTATGGGGTTACAATGGGGCTCTATGGGGGTTCTATGGGGTTACAATGGGGTTCTATGGGGGTTCTATGGGGCTACATGGGGTTCTATGGGGCTGCTCATGGGGTTCCCCTTGGGCCCCCTATGGGGCTACACAGGATCATATGGGGTCGCACGTTCCCCTATGGTCTCTCTATGGGGTTCTATGGGTTTATATGGGGCTATATGGCCTGCATGGGGTTTAAATGGCGCCTGCGGCTCCATGCGGGTAAGAACCCCCCCTATGGTCTCTCTATGGGGTTCTAGAGGTGCCGTGGGGGGTATTTGGGGCTGCTCATTGACCCCCTTGCTGCCCCCTATGGGGCTGCCCTGCCCCATATATCCCCCTCTGCCCCCCAAGTGCGAGGTCTCCACCCTAGAGGGCATCAAGGCCTGCATGAGCTTCTACCCCCATTGCCCGGCTCCATGCGGGTACCCCCCCCCATTGACCCCCATTGACACCCATTGACCCCCTTTGACCCCATTGCCCCCCATTGCCCCCATTGACCCCCATTGACCCCCATTGACCCCCATTGACTCCCATTGACCCCCATTGACCCCCATTGCCCCCATTGACCCCCATTGACCCTCCACTGACCCCCTTTGACCCCCATTGCCCCCCACTAACCCCCACTAACCCCCATTGACCTCCATTGCCTCCCATTGCCCCCCATTGACCCTCTTTGACCCCCATTGACCCCCATTGACCCTCATTGACCCCCACTGACCCCCATTGCCCCCCACTAACCCCCATTGACCCCCATTGACCCCCATTGCCCCATTGCCCCCATTGACCCCCATTGACCCCCATTGATGCCCATTGCCCCTCTTTGCACCCCATTGACCCTCCTTGACCCCCCATCGCCCCCCATTGACCCCCATTGCCCCCCTTTGACCCCCCTTGACCCCCATTGACCCCCTTGACCCCCATTGCCCCCCATTGAACCCCATTGCCCCCCATAGGGCAAACTGGCCGCCTACTTCCTAGCCCGCATCGACTCCGACTCCCCCCAAGTGCAGCAGGTAAAGGGGGGGGGGTAATTTGGGGGTGTTCCCCCCCACACTTTGACTTGGGGGGGTCCCACCATAATTTGGGGTGGTTTTGGGGCCGTTTTGGGGCTTTTTGAGGTGGTTTTGGGGCTGTTTCAGGTGGTTTTGGGGCTGGTTTAGGGCTGGTTTACGTCGTGTCTCCCCCTATTCTAGGTGGCACATGAGCTCTTCCAGTGGCTCCCAAGGGGGTTTTGGGGTGGTTTCTATGGGTTTTGGGTGATTTTGGGCGGGTTTAGGTGGATTTTGGGTCGTTTTAGAGGGTTTTGGGGCTGTTTCAGGTGGTTTTGGGGCTGTTTCAGGTGATTTTGGGGCTGTTTGGGGGCTGGTTTGAGTCGTTTCCCCCCCCTATTCTAGGTGGCACATGAGCTCTTCCAGTGGCTCCCAAGGGGGTTTTATGGAGGTTTCTATGGGTTTTGGGTCATTTTGGGTGGGTTTAGGTGGATTTTGGGTTGTTTTAGAGGGTTTTGGGGCTGTTTCAGGTGGTTTTGGGGCTGTTTCAGGTGGTTTTGGGGCTGTTTCAGGTGGTTTTGGGGCTGGTTTGAGTCGTTTCCCCCCTATTCTAGGTGGCACATGAGCTCTTCCAGTGGCTCCCAAGGGGGTTTTAAGGCAATTTTAGGGTGTTTTCTATGGCTTTTGGGTCATTTTGGGCGGATTTAGGTGGATTTTGGGTCGTTTTAAGGGTTTAGGAGGCGTTTCAGGTGATTTTGGGGTTTTTCAGGTGGTTTTGGGGCTGTTTCAGGTGTGTTTTGGTGCCACCGCTGGTGCAATCCCTCACATGGGCTCCAGGTTTGGGGCGTTTTGGGCCCATTCTAGGTGTTTTAGCACATTTTGGGGTCATTTTAGTGGCTCCCATTTTGGGGGTTTTAAGGCAATTTGGGGGGCCGTTTTGAGGGTGTTTGCTCTATTTCATCTGGAGTTTTTGGGTCATTTTCACATGGGCTACAGGGTTTAGGTGGATTTTGGATCGTTTTAAGTGTTTAGGAGGCGTTTCAGATGATTTTGGGGTGTTTTTGGCCATTTTCGGGGGTTTTAGACCATTTTCAGGCCGTTTTGACCCGTTTTCGCCCTATTTCACCTGGAGTTTGCGATGCGCTGGTGCCACCACTGAGCTGCAATCCCTCACATGGGCTACAGGGGGCGCTTTAGGGGCGTTTTGGGCTCATTTTGGGCCGTTTTAGCTCATTTTGGGGTCAATTCAGGGGTATTTTGGGGCGTTTTAGGCCATTTTTGGGGGTTTTGGGGCCGTTTGGGGGCCGTTTTGACCCATTTTTGCTCTATTTCATCTGGAGTTTGTGATGCGCTGGTGCCACCACTGAGCTGCAGTCCCTCACATGGGCTCCAGAGAGCGCTTTAGGGGCATTTTGGGCCGTTTTAGCTCATTTTTGGGTCATTTTAGGGGTATTTTGGGGTGTTTTAGGCCATTTTCGGGGGTTTTAGACCATTTTCAGGCCGTTTTGACCCGTTTTCGCCCTATTTCACCTGGAGTTTGCGATGCGCTGGTGCCACCACTGAGCTGCAATCCCTCACATGGGCTCCAGAGGGCGCTTTAGGGGCGTTTTGGGCTTATTTTGGGCCGTTTTAGCTCATTTTGGGGTCGTTCTAGGGGTATTTTGGGGCGTTTTAGGCCATTTTTGGGGTGTTTGGGGCCGTTTGGGGGCCGTTTTGACCCGTTTTCGGCCCGTTTTGCAGCTGGCATGTGAATGTTACGCGCTGGTGCCGGCGCTGGGCCGCGGCTTCGCGCAGGGGCTGCGGCACACGGAGGGCTGGCACCAGGAGCTGCAGGGGCTCCTGGCCACGCTGCATGCGCTGCTCGGGGAGCTCTTCGAGGGCTGCGAGAGCGGTAACGGGGCCTATAGTGGGGTCTATGGGGGTCTGTGGGGCTCTATGGGGGTCTTTGGGGGGTCTATGGGTGTCTATGGGGCTCTATGGGGGTCTTTGGGGGGTCTATGGGGCTCTATGGGGGGTTTTGGGGGATCTAGAGGGGTCTGTGGGGGGTCTGTTGGGGTCTATATGGGCTCTATAGGGGTCTATGGGGGTCTATAGGGGTCTGTGGGGGTCTATGGTGGGTCTGTGGGGGTCTATGGGGTGTCTAGGGGGTGTCTATGGGGGTCTGTGGGTGTCTGGGGCTCTGTGGGGGTCTTTGGGGGGTCTGTGGGGTGTCTATGGGGGGTCTATGGGGGTCTATGGGGGGTCTGTTGGGGTCTATATGGGTTCTATAGGGGTCTACGTGTCTATATGGGGGTCTATAGGGGTCTATGGGTGTCTATAGGGGGTCTATGGGTGTCTATAGAGGTCTATGGGGGGTCTGCTGGGGTCTATATGGGTTCTATAGGGGTCTATGGGTGTCTTTGGGGCTGTCTGTGGGGGGTCTATGGTTGTCTCTGAAGGTCTATGGGAGGTCTATGGGTGTCTATGGGGTGTGTATGGGTCTCTGTGGGTGTCTATGGGAGGTCTATGGGGGGATCTATGGGGCTCTATGGGGTCCCTGTCCTTGACCCCCCCTTGCCCCCCCAGAGCCGCTGCCCTATGAGGGGCCGGGGGTGGAGCTTCTGCTCCCGCCCCCCCCCGACGGGGACCCCGGCATCAGCCTCACCCTGCACAAGCGCTGCTCCGGGCTGGCGCGGGTCCTGCAGCTGCTGCTCAGGTACTGGAACGGCCCAAAACACACCCCAAATCCACCCAAAATGCACTAAAATACACCCAAAATGCATCAAAATCGACCCAAAATGCACCAAAATACACCCAAAATGCACCAAAACAGCCCCAAATACACCCAAAATGTACCAAAATACACCCAAAATGCACCAAAATACACCCAAAATGCACCAAAACAGCCCCAAATCCACCCAAAATGCACCAAAATCCACCCAAAATGCACCAAAACAGCCCCAAATACACCCCAAATGCACCAAATACACCCAAAATTGCAACAAACCGGCCCCAAATACACCCAAAATGCACCAAAACAGCCGCAAATACACAAAAAATGCAACAAAACGGCCCCAAATACAACCAAAATGCACCAAAACAGCCCGAAATACACAAAAAATGCAACAAAACGGCCCCAAATGCACAAAAAATGGAACAAAACAGCCCCAAATCCACCCAAAATGCACCAAAACAGCCCCAAATACACCCAAAATGCACCAAAACAGCCCCAAATCCACCCAAAATGCCCCAAAATACACCCCAAATGCACCAAAATACACCCAAAATGCACCAAAACAGCCCCAAATACACAAAAAATGCAACAAAATGGCCCCAAATACACCCAAAATGAAGAAAAACGGCCCCAAATACACCCAAAACGAACCAAAACTGCCCAAAATACACCTGAAATGCACTAAAAGAGCCCCAGATACACCCAAAAGACACCCAAAATACCCCTAAACGACCCCAAATACACCCAAAACACACCCAAACTACCCCCAAATCACCACAAAATACCCCCAAAACACCCCTAAAATACACCCCCAAAAACACCCAAAACACCTCGGAACACCCTAAAGTACACCCCGAAATACACACCAAAGCACCCTTAAATATAACCCGAAACATCCTTAAAATACACCCGAAACACCCCAAAATACACCCAGAACCACCCCAAAAATACACCCAAAACACCCCTAAAATACAGCCAAAAACACCCCCAAAATACACCCAGAACCACCCCAAAAATACACCCAAAACACCCCTAAAATACAGCCAAAAACACCCCTAAAATACACCCAAGACACCCATAAAATACACCCAAAACTCCCCTAAAATACACCCAAAAAAAAATAAAATACACCCAAAACACCCCAAAATACAGCCAGAAACACCCCTAAAATACACCCAAAAAAAAACACAAAATACACCCAAAACCACCCCAGAACACCCCTAAAATACACCCAAAACACCCCTAAAATACACCCCGAAAAAACCAAAATACACCCAAAACCCCCTAAAATACACCAAAAACACCCCTAACATACACCCAAAACACCCCTAAAATACACCCAAACCCCCCCTAAAATACACCAAAAAAAAACCTAGAATACCCCTAAAATACCCCCAAAAACACCCCAAAAACCACCCCAAAATACACCCACCCACCCCTTTGACCCCCATCTCCCCCCTTTGACCCCCATCTCCCCCCCCCCCCCACAGCAAGGAGTTCGTTGCCCCGGTGACGGTGCCGGTCCAGGACATCCTGGACCTCGTGTGCCGGGCCCTGAACATCACCCCCAAAACCATCGTGAGTTGGAACCTTCCAAGGCCTCGGGGTGGGGGTCTGGGACCGTCCCATTGCGTTATGGGGGGGGGAATGGGAGCATCCCATTGCGTTATGGGGGGGGAATGGGAGCATCCCATTGCGTTATGGGGGGGGAATGGGAGCATCCCATTGCGGTATGGGGGGGAATGGGAGCATCCCATTGCGTTATGGGGGGGGATGGAGCATCCCATTGCGTTATGGGGGGGGAATGGGAGCATCCCATTGCGTTATGGGGGGGAATGGAGCATCCCATTGCGTTATGGGGGGGAATGGGAGCATCCCATTGCGTTATGGGGGGGGAATGGGAGCATCCCATTGCGTTATGGGGGGGGAATGGGAGCATCCCATTGCGTTATGGGGGGGGGGAATGGGAGCATCCCATTGCGTTATGGGGGGGGAATGGGAGCATCCCATTGCGTTATGGGGGTGGAATGGGAGCATCCCATTGCGTTATGGGGGGGAATGGGAGCATCCCATTGCGTTATGGGGGGGGAATGGGAGCATCCCATTGCGTTATGGGGTGGGGGGGAATGGGAGCATCCCATTGCGTTATGGGGTGGGGGGGAATGGGAGCATCCCATTGCGTTATGGGGGGGGAATGGGAGCATCCCATTGCGTTATGGGGGGGAATGGGAGCATCCCATTGCGTTATGGGGGGGAATGGGAGCATCCCATTGCGTTATGGGGGGGGGAATGGGAGCATCCCATTGCGTTATGGGGGGGGAATGGGAGCATCCCATTGCGTTATGGGGGGGGAATGGGAGCATCCCATTGCGTTATGGGGGGGGGGAATGGGAGCATCCCATTGCGTTATGGGGGGGAATGGGAGCATCCCATTGGGTTATGGGGGGGAATGGGAGCATCCCATTGCGTTATGGGGGGGAATGGGAGCATCCCATTGCGTTATGGGGGGGGAATGGGAGCATCCCATTGCGTTATGGGGGGGAATGGAGCATCCCATTGCGTTATGGGGGGGGGAATGGGAGCATCCCATTGTGTTACCTGGGGGGGAAATGGGAGCATCCCATTGCGTTATGGGGGGGGGGGAATGGGAGCATCCCATTGCGTTATGGGGGGGATGGGGCATCCCATTGCGTTATGGGGGGGAAATGGGAGCATCCCATTGCATTATGGGGGGGGGAATGGGAGCATCCCATTGCGTTAGGGGGGGGAATGGGAGCATCCCATTGGGTTATGGGGGGGAATGGGAGCATCCCATTGCGTTATGGGGGGGGAATGGGAGCATCCCATTGCGTTATGGGGGGGGAATGGGAGCATCCCATTGCGTTATGGGAGGAGGAATGGGAGCATCCCATTGCGTTATGGGGGGGGATGGAGCATCCCATTGCGGGATGGGGGGGGAATGGGAGCATCCCATTGCGTGATGGGGGGGAATGGGAGCATCCCATTGGGTTATGGGGGGAATGGGGGAGCATCCCATTGCGTTATGGGGGGGGGGGAATGGGGAGCATCCCATTGCGTTATGGGGGGGGGGAATGGGAGCATCCCATTGCGTTATGGGGGGGAATGGGAGCATCCCATTGGGTTATGGGGGGGAATGGGAGCATCCCATTGCGTTATGGGGGGGGATGGAGCATCCCATTGCATTGGGGATGTTTGGGGGTGCAAGGGGGGGGGACAGCCCCATATATGGGTGCCCCCCCCACAGAGTGCTGCTGGGGATGGAGCCTTAAGGATGCTGCTGCTGCCCGCGGTGCACTTGGATGCGCTGGATGTGCTGGAGGCGCTCGTGCTGGCGTGAGTGGGAAATAGGGGAGAATTGGGAGGCAATGGGAATGGGGGAGGAATGGGAAATGGGGGGGAAATGATGGGGAAATGGGAGAGAAATGGGGGAAATGATGGGGAAATGGGGGAAAATAGCAAATTTAGGGAGGGAAATGAAGAGAAATGGGGGGAAATGGGAAATGGAATGGGAATTGGGGGAAATGGGATGGGGAATGGGGAAATTATGGGGAAATGGGATGGGGGAAATGGGATGGGAAATGGGGGAAATGGGAAATAGGAAATTTAGGGAGGGAAATTGGGAGGAAATGGGGGAAATGGGGGGGAAATGGAATGGGGGGAAATGGGGAAATGGGGGGAAATAGGAAATTTAGGGAGGGAAATGAAGGGAAATGGGGGGAAATAGCAAATTTAGGGGGGAAATGAGGGAAATAGGAAATTTAGGGAGGGAAATGAAGGGAAATGGGGGAAATAGCAAATTTAGGGGGGAAATGGGGAGGAAATGGGGGAAATAGCAAATTTATGGGGGAAATGAAGGGAAATGGGGGGAAATAGGAAATTTAGGGAGGGAAATGGGGGGAAATAGCAAGTTTAGGGGGGGAATGAAGGAAAATGGGGAGGAAATGGGGGGAAATAGCAAATTTATGGGGGAAATGAAGGGAAATGGGAAATAGCAAATTTAGGGGGAATTGGGAGGAAATGGGGGAAATAGCAAATTCATGGGGGAAATGGGGAGGAAATGGGGGGAAATAGCAAATTTAGGGAGGGAAATGGGGAGGAAATGGGAAACAGGAAATTTAGGGAGGGAAATTGGGAGGAAATGGAGGGAAATAGCAAATTTAGGGGGGAAATGGGGGGAAATAGCAAATTTAGGGGGGAAATGGGGAGGAAATGGGGGGAAATAGCAAATTTAGGGAGGGAAATGGGGAGGAAATGGGAAATAGGAAATTTAGGGAGGGAAATTGGGAGGAAATGGAGGGAAATAGCAAATTTAGGGGGGAAATGGGGAGGAAATAGCAAATTTAGGGGGGAAATGAAGGGAAATGGGGGGAAATAGGAAATTTAGGGAGGGAAATGGGGGGAAATAGCAAATTTAGGGGGGAAATTGGGAGGAAATGGGAAATTGAGGAGGAAATGAAGGTGGAAATAGGGGTATATGATGGGGGATGCTGGGCTGTTCCATGTTCCTCCGGGGGGGGGGATGTGTGTGTGTCTATATGTGGTGCCTTCCATATGGATCTGGGGGGGGTCCGTGTGTGTGTGGCTACGTCCATATGGGTCTGAGAGGGTCCCTATGGGTCCAAGGGGGTGCGCTATGGGGCAGGGTGTGCCCCATATAGCTCCTTACCCCGCCTTGTCCCCCCCCGCGGTGTAGATGTGGTGCGCGCCTGGTGCGCTGGGGCAGCGTCTTGGCCCGCCTCTTCCCTCAGGTGCTGAGCGCGTGGAGCGGGGCCCGAGAGGCGTTGCCGGGCCAGGAGAAACCATTCGGGTACCTTCGGGGGGGGGGGGATCCGGGGGGGGTGTATGGTTTCTAAAGGGGGTTTTAGGGGGTTAAAACGGGTTTTGGGGTGCTGAAACGGGTTTAGGGGTGTCTATAGGGAGGTCAGTGTGGGTTTGGGGGGGTTTGTTGTTGATGGGGGGTGTTTTGGGGTGTGAAGCGGGGGGACCTCCCCCCCCCCGGACGGGATGGTACGGTCCTAGTGGGAGGGGTGTTTGGGTGCCGCTTGGGCGAGTCCAAGTGGGCTATGGCGGGGGAGGCGGATTGATTGGGGGTGTTTAAATGAGTCCTTATGGAGCCGGGGGGGGGAATTGAGGTGAGTTTATGGAATGAGGTTTTTTTTGGGGTGCTGTCAGTGTGATTTGGGGGTGATGGGGGGTGTTGACGGCGTGTAACACCCCCTCTTTTATCGTTGTCCCCCCCCCGCGGCATCAGAGAGGTACGCGCCCGCCTGTACCGGGTGCTGGAGCTGTGGGTGCAGGTGGCCGGGGCCTCCTCCGGGCTCCTGCAGCACCCGGGGGCGCCGACGGAGGCGCTGCTGAGCCACCTGATGGGAGACATCGCCCCCCCCTGCGACAGCCTGCGGGTGAGACCCCCAAAAAACACCACAAAACACACGAAAATCAGCCCAAAACACAAAAAAATCGGGAAAAACAGCCCAAAATTACCCCGGAAAACCCCAAAACACGAAATAATCACACCAAAACAACCAAAAATTGGCAAAAAACACCCCAAAATTACCCCAGAAAGCCCCAAAACACAAAAAGTCACCCAAAACCACCCCAAAATCGGGAAAAACACCCCAAAATTACCCCGGAACACACCAAAACATGAAAAAATCACCCCAAAACACCAAAAAATCGGGAAAAACAGCCCAGAATTACCCCAGAACACCCCAAAACACGAAAAAATCACCCCAAAATCGGCAAAAAACACCCAAAAATTACCCCCAAAACACACCAAAACAAAAACACCCCAAAATCGGCAAAAAACACCCCAAAATTACCCCAGAACACCCCAAAACACAAAAAATCACCCCAAAACACACCAAAATTGGCAAAAAAAAATCACCCCAAAATTACCCAAAACCACCCAAAAAACGACACTAGAACACCCCAAAAACAGCTTAAAAGCACTCTAAAACACCCAAAAGTCACCCCAAAAATCCCAAAACAACAGAAAAAACACCCCAAAATGCCCCAAACCACCCCAAGCCACCCCAAAATCACCCAAAATTCAGCCCAAAACGCCCCAAACCACCAAAATCACCTCAAAACCATCCCAAAAACGCCACAAAAGCACCCCAAAACATCCAACAATCAGCCAAAACCACCCCAGAATGCCCCAAATTACCACAGAAATAGCCTAAAATACCCCAAACCACCCCAAAATACTACAGGAATAGCCCAAAACACCCCAAATTACCACAGAAATAGCCTAAAATACCCCAAACCACCCCAAAATACTACAGGAATAGCCCAAAACACCCCAAATTACCACAGAAATAGCCTAAAATACCCAAAAATACCCCAAAATACCACAGAAACAGCCTAAAACACCCCAAATTACCACAGAAATAGCCTAAAATACCCCAAAATACCCCAAAATACCACAGAAACAGCCTAAAACACTCCGAAATACCACAGAAATAACCTGAAATACCCCAAAATGCCCCAAAATACCTCAGAAATAGCCTAAAATACCCCAAACCACCCCAAAATACCACAGAAATAGCCTAAAATACACCAAAACACCCCCAAATACCACAGAAATAGCCTAAAACACCCCAAATGCCCCAAAATACCACAGAAATAGCCTAAAACACCCCAAAATGTCCCAAAACACCCCAAAATACCACAGAAATAGTTCAAAATACCCTAAACACACCAGAAATACCCTAAAATACCACAAAAATACCACAGAAATAGCCCAAAATACCCCAAATACCCCCAAAATAGCCCAAAATTCCCCAAAACCCACAAAAATAGCCAAAAATACCCCCAAAATAGCCCAAAATTCCCCAAAACCCACAAAAATAGCCCAAAATACCACCAAAACAGCCCAAACCCCTCCAAAACTCCCTTTTTTCCCCCATTTTGAACCCAAAACTCCTTTTTCCCCCCATTTTGAACCCAAAACCCCTTTTCCCCCCATTTTTACCTCACTTTAACCCCAAACCCCACTTTTCCCCCTGTTTTTACCTCAAACACCCCCAAAACCCCCCTTTTCCCCCCCATTTTGGGGCCTTCCCGCCATAAACCCCATTTTCTCCTCATTTTTGAGCCCCAAACTCCTTTTTTCCTCCATTTTAGCCCCCAAAAAACCCCTTTCCCCCCATTTTAACACCAAAATCCCCTTTTCCCCCCATTTTAACCCAAAATTTCCCTTTCCCCCCGTTTTAACCCCAAAACCCCCATTTCCACCTATTTTTAACCCCCAAATCCCCCTTTTTCACCCCAAAACCCCATTTCCCCCATTTTAACCCCAAAACCCCCATTTCCACCTATTTTTACCCCAAAATCCCCCTTTTTAACTCCCAAAACCCCATTTTCCTCCATTTTAACCCAAAACCCCCCTTTTTCACCCCAAAACCCCCATTTTCTCCCCATTTTAATCCAACCCTCCCCATTGAAAGTCAAAAACCACCAATTCCCCCCATTTTAACCCCAAAACCCCCTTCCAACCCAAAACCCCCATTTTCACCCCATTTTAACCCCAAAACCGCCCTTTTTCACCCCAAAACTCCATTTCCCCCCATTTCAAACCCAAGCCCCCGTTTTCCAATCGAAAATCCCCATTTTCCCGCAGTTTAAACCCAAAACCGCCCTTTTTCACCCCAAACACCCAACCCCCCCATTTTAACCCCAAAACCCCCTTCCAACCCAAACCCCCATTTTAACCCATTTTAACCCAAACCCCCCTTTTTTCACCCCAAACCCCCTTTTTCCCCCTTTTCCCCCAAAACCCCCATTTTAACCCAAAACCCCCCTTTTTACCCCCAACCCCCCTTTCCCCCCATTTTAACCCAAAACCCCCTTTTTCCCCCCATTTTAACCCAAAACCCCCTTTTTTCACCCCAAACCCCATTTTCCCCCCATTTTAACCCAAAACCCCCTTTTTTCACCCCAAACCCCATTTTCCACCCATTTTAACCCAAAACGCCCTTTTTTCCCCATATTTTAACCCAAAACCCCCTTTTTTCACCCCATTTTAACCCAAAACCCCTTTTTTTCACCCCAAACCCCCATTTTCCCCCCATTTTAACCCAAAACCCCTTTTTTCACCCCAAACCCCATTTTCCCCCCATTTTAACCCAAAAACCCTTTTTCCCACCAAACCCCCATTTCCCCCATTTTAACCCAAACCCCCCTTTTTTCCCCAAAACCCCCTTTTTCCACCCTTTTCCCCCCAAACCCCCATTTTCCCCCATTTTAACCCAAAACCCCTTTTTTTCACCCCAAACCCCATTTTCCCCCCATTTTAACCCAAAACCCCCTTTTTCCCCCTAAACCCCCATTTTCCCCCAAACCCCCATTTTCCCCCCATTTTAACCCAAAACCCCCTTTTTCCCCCCATTTTCACCCCAAACCCCTTTTTCCCATTTTAACCCAAAACCCCCCTTTTTCCCCCCATTTTCCCCCAAACCCCTTTTTCCCCCATTTTAACCCAAAACCCCCCTTTTCCCCATTTTACCCCAAAACCCTCCTTTTTCCCCCATTTTAACCCAAAACCCCTTTTTTTGACCCAAAACCCCTTTTTCCCCCCATTTTAACCCAAAACCCCCCTTTCCCCCCACCCCCCCTTTTCCCCCATTTTCCCCCAAAACCCCCCTTTTCCCCCATTTTACCCCAAAACCCCCTTTTTTCCCCCATTTTAACCCAAAACCCCTTTTTTTCACCCCAAACCCCATTTTTCTCCTCATTTTAACCCAAAACCCCCCTTTTTACCCCCAACCCCCCTTTGCCCCCAAACCCCCATTTTCCCCACTTTCCCCCCCAAACCCCATTTTCCCCCCATTTTAACCCAAAACCCCCTTTTTCCCCCCATTTTAACCCAAAACCCCCTTTTTTCACCGCAAGCAGGAGCCAGCAGCCAATAGCGACGTCTGTAGGGCTGCCCTTAAAGGTATTTGGGGGGGGGGGTACCCCAAAACCACCCCCCCTCACCCTATAGGGTGCCCCCCATACCCCTAATATAGGGGGCACCCCCCTATGGGTTCAATGGAACAGTCCAAAGGCCCATAGAAGGGTTTGGGGGGGGGGGTCCCCAAACCCCATCCATGGGGGGGGGGAAAAAATAGGGGACCCCCCCATTTTAACCCCTGGGGGTCCCCCATGCCCCATAGAAAGGTTTGGGGGGCGTCCCCAAGCGATCCATGGGGGGGGGATGGGAAGAAGGGGACCCCCCCCTGCACCGCAAGGGGTCCCCCTGACCCATAGACGGGTTTGGGGGGGGTCCCAATGATCCATGGGGGGGGGAAGAAAAACCACCCCCCCTCACCCTTGGGGTCCCCCTGACCCATAGAGGGGTTAGGGGGCACCCCCCCTATGGGTTCAATGAGAACAGTCCAATTGGGGTCCCCTAGAATAGAAGGGTTTGGGGGGGGTCCCAATGATCCATGGGGGGGGGAAGAAGAAGGGGACCCCCCCAATTGGGGTCCCCCTGACCCATAGAGGGGTTGGGGGGGGTCCCAATGATCCATGGGGGGGGGGAAGAAGAAGGGGACCCCCCCAATGGGGGTCCCCCTGACCCATAGAAAGGTTTCGGGGGGTCCCAATGATCCATGGGGGGGGAAGAAGAAGGGGAACCCCCCAATTGGGGTCCCCCTGACCCATAGAAGGGTTTGGGGGGGCATTAAATGGGGACCCCCCCCTCTGACCCCCCATTTTCTATGCCCCCCCCCCTCCCCAGCGCTGCGTCGGATCATCCTAACGGGGGGGTCATTGATAAAGGAGGAGATCCATAGGGTAAGTGGGGCGCTATGGGGCTGGGGGGGGGTACCTATGGGGCTGGGGGGGGCACTATGGGGGGGTTATGGGGTTAATGGGGGTCAATGGAAGGGGTCCATGGGGGTTAATGGGGGTGTAATGGGGGTCAGTGGGGCAGACCATGAGGGTCAATGGGGGGGGGCCATGGGGATCAATGGGGGGGTCTATGGGGGTTAATGGAGGGGTCCATGGGGGGGTCCATGGGGGTCAATGGGGGGTGCATGGGGGTCAGGATCCATGGGGGTCGAATGGGGGGGGTCCATGGGGGATCAATGGGGGGCAATGAGGGGGTCAATGGGGGGTCAATGCAGGGTAATGGGGGGCAGTGGGGGGTTCATGGGGGTCAGTGCGGGGGGTCCATGGGGGTCAATGGGGGGGTAATGGGAGTTAGTGGGGCAGACCATGAGGGTCAATGGGGGGATCAATGGGGGAGTCCATGGGGATCAATGGGGGGGAGTCCATTGGGGTCAATGGGGAGGGGTCCATGGGGATCAATGGGGGGGGGGGTCAATGGGGGTTCAATGGGGGGGTCAATGGGGGGTCATGGGGGTCAATGGGGATCAATGGGGGGAGTCAATGTGGGTCAATGGGGGGTCAATGGGGATCAATGGGGGTCAATGGGGGGGGTCCATGGGGGTCAATGGGGGGGAGTCAATGGGCTCAATATGGGGGTCAATGGGGGGGTCAATGGGGGTCTGTGGGGGGATCAATGGGGGGGTCCATGGGGGTCAATGGGGGGGGTCAATGGGGGGGTAATGGGGGTCAATAGGGGGGTCAATGGGGGTCAATGGGTTACAATGGGGGGGTCAATGGGGGGTAATGGGGGTCAATGGGTTACAATGGGGGGGTCAATGGGGGGTAATGGGGGTCAATGTGGGGTCCATGGGGGTCAATGGGGGATAAATGGGGATCAATGGGGGTCAATGGGGGGGTCAATGGGGGAGTCCATTGGGGTCAATGGGGAGGGTAATGGGGATCATCAATGGGGGTCAATGGGGGTTCAATGGGGGTCAATGTGGGGGTCAATGGGGGGGTCAATGGGGGGTCAATGGGGGGTCAATGGGGTCAATGGGGGTAATGAGGGGAAAAGGGGGACAATGGGGGGGGTCAATGGGGGGGTCCCAATGGGGGTCCCAATGGAGGGGTGTCAATGGGGGGGTCAATGGGGGGGGTCAATGGGGGTTATGGGGGGTCAATGGGGAGGTCAATGGGGGTCAATGGGGGGTCAATGGGGGTTAAATGGGGGGTCAATGTGGGGGGGATCAATGGGGTCAATGGGGGGTCAATGGGGGTCAATGGGGGTTCCAATGGGGGTCAATGGGGGGGGTCAATGGGGGTCAATCAATGGGGGTGAATGGGGGTCAGTATGGGGGGGGGACCAATGGGGGTCAATTAATGGGGGGGGGTCAATGGGGTCAATGGGGGTCAATGGGGGGCAGTGGGAGGCAATGGGGTCCATGGGGGACAATGGGGGTCAATGGGGTCAATGGGGGTCAATGGGGGGGGTAATGGGGATCAATGGGGGGGTCAATGGGGATCAATGGGGGGAGTCAATGGGGGGGTCAATGGGGGGTCAATGGGGGGGTAATGGGGGTCAATGGGGGTTATAATGGGGGTCAATGGGGGTCAATGGGGGGGGTCAATGGGCTCAATATGGGGGTCAATAGACTCAATATGGGGGTCAATAGGGGGGCTAATGGGGGTCAATGGGGATCAATGGGGGGATCAATGGGGTCAGTG